ATTTCCAACTTCTGTTAGCTCACGATATAGCGCAAACCGCTACCCAATGTCATCGTTGAGTATTTGTCCTCACGGCCATCAGGCTTGACTCCACCGGTCACGACTTGTCATTGGAACTTCGGGAATACTTCTCGAAGCTAGTCACCAACGAGCACTAGTTCAATTAAATTTTGAGGGGGTTGTGGAGATTTGGAAATATTTCAAGTTGTTATTCATCGAAGACTGACATCAGTTGGAGGAACAAAGGAAACCTGGGAGCACTGGACAGCTGTTTCGTCCTAGTATGGGACTCCTCAGGTTTCCTTTGTTCCTCCAACTGATGTCAGTCTTCGATGAATAACAACTTGTAATATATTATTGTTTTATTAGTTGTATACATCGATGCCGTGTCAGAATACAGGTGTTTTGACTACTCCACTTGCCTTGGAGTTGTTATCAATAGAAATGTATCATTGATTAACGAAATCTCGGTACTGATATAAAGAGCTTCAATAGCTCTTGATTTCTTAATCCAAATGCGCTGTACGCACGATATCCGAATGCTTGTTAAGGGTTAAGTGTACTGCAAAGTTAAGCCCTACGTTGTACTATGTGCATGTAAAACATGATGATATAACGATAAACAGTATGCGAAGATTACATGTTTCCAGATACCGTCATTTTCGTTTCTTCGCTCGCGTATTGTGGAATCACTAGTTGAGTACTCCTGAGGTTAGATCTTAATTGCCAAATAAAAAGAAAATTAGTTAAAGTCATGAACTTTTATAGAGTCTGTGGGGTATTTTATGAAAATTGAAAGTCCATCTACTTGAAAGTGTTGTGTAAGTTTTAAAAAATTGCATAATAATGTAGACATAATTTCATGGACTGACCATTGGTCTTCATTTTAACTTCTGATTTAGTGTTTATTGTTATGTAAATCGATGTGGAGAATATTGCCTTCCATTTTCTATGCGTAACCGTTATACTGACAGTCCAAAATTCACGTGTTTATACTTGTGAGTAATAAAAATCGATGAATGGTAATTGACTGACATATTTATGATTGAATGACTGAAAGGAAAGTTTACAGTACCGACTGCATAATAAGGCTTTTGTGAGATATCTTCGATAGCTGAAAAGGGATCTACTGAAATATAGATGTCCGGATTCCGTGTTTTCTTCTTCGTAGCGTCATTCTTTACACCACTGTTCGATTTTGTGATTTATTCCCGGTGAAAAAAAAACAGTATTTAGAGTAGCATATTTACTCTTTTGTTATCAGACATTTATTTCTTCAAGTCCATTTATGTATGTCTATCTTTCAACATCTATACTATTATTATCGTGAAAAAAGTTTTATTTACCGTTAAAAAATGCCTACAGTGTGCCTACATTTTATCGGCATACAGTTAACCTTGTAAATGAGTTGTGTGTTGTTTATCATTCAGTGTGAATGTCATTGAGTAGATAATTTCATATTTACACTGCTCAGAATTATTTCCATTGGTTCATGTGGATTTTGTAGTATCATTAAATCATCTTAGCTGACTTCATCTAATCAGTCCGATCTGGAATTGATTTGTAGTTAGCGACATTGCTTTCCTGTAGTAAAGCATTACTCAGCGATCACTGTTCGTTTATTTTTTTACTGTCTCCGCTTTTATCTTCTGCTATTGTCCAGTACATTGACAGATATATGGTAACGTTATGATATGAGATCATCTATCTCAATACACACTAATCAACATGGCTAACACATAGATTATGAAAACATCTTAAAAATCTTAAAATATGACAATTATCAGTATGCGAAAGAATTCCTGTTGGCGTGTATGAAGTCACCAAGAAGAAGGTCACTTAGTAAGTTAATGTTTCAAGGAAATAAAACCTCCATAACATCACACAAAGAAACGTCGGTCTCTTCAAGGTGATTGTCTGAGACGAAATTCTCGATGTACTTTCGATTACTCTGAAAACTACAGATGAAAATGAGAGCTCATCCTGTAAATTCAGTATACAAGATGAAAACGATTCTTAAATAAACTCAAACAGACGGTAACTAATCACGTAATAGGAGCCAGATAGATCGGTCCGAACTGATAATCTAGTTCATTGATGAAACCAAATAAACGATTTCAAATGTTCATATCGATGCAGCTAGACTGTAACTTCATTGAGCGGAATAATGATAGACTGAGAAACAACAGCATTGACCGAAAGTTCTACTCAGTATTCAAACTGCTACTCACGACGGACTGACAACAGTTGGAAAACCACTGAAGACTTTGGAGCACTGACAATTAGGGGAGGTGGTCCATTGGACTCTCGTCTAGTGGCTCAATGGTAACGTGCTAACTGCGGAACCTGAAGGTCCTGGGTTTGTCCCTTGATGGGGTCATAGGTATGCACCGGTGAGGAGTTCTACACTATGCCTCCATATTTTCAATGGTTCTCCAACTAATGCTAGTCCGTGATGAATGCCACTTTGAAATCAATAAGTCTCCATAATTCTTCCAATTCAATTGTCGGTAGTTGAAGAAGCCAATTTTCAACTGTTGACCATTTAAAACAACCGAAGTGAATCAGGCATCCACCTGCTTCTCCGTTAAGCAGCAGTTAGGATGATAATTTATGCTGATGTCGAGAGCTTTGTTAAAAAAAACCTAAGTGTAGGAGATTTCAAGAATTTATCTTAATAATGAATGGCGGCTAGCAGCGGAATCCAAGACGCACGTTTCGTTCTATTCGGGACTCTTCAGCTGGATACACCTGTCTCCACTGTCCATCATTAACATAAAATTGAAACATAGACAATATCGAGACATCCGCACTGGTGCCCATATGCCAATCGAGACTGATCAAATTCGGTCCAATCATCTAGTGTTTAGTACAAATAACAACACTAGTTTGAAGAATTTCAAAACATCCACAGCTCAAACTGTTTATCTTTACAGCTTCATCAATAGGTAATATCTGTCCAGTACCTACAACAGAGAATGGTAGTGATAACTTACTGATCATCATTAGGAAAACTTTACAACTAAAAGTGGTCACTGAAACAATTTTTTTTCCTAAAAAAATACCTGTTTATAAATTGCCTGATAGTATTATTATATGGTAAACAATCAATCATCATGGTTGTGAACATTTTTGTGTTCCTCCTGTCAGTGTTGAACCGCATTGACTAGAGCCCTTTAGGACGTAATTAGATGTTAAAACAAACGTCTTTAACTTTCGTTCGAGGGTTGCTATTTCTAATAAATTGTCTAGGGCATTGCGTGAAACACGAAACCCGAAAAATTGCAAACAAATTTCACTTGATTGCAGTTGATGTGTCTTGCTGTTGATTAAGGAATTGGCTTATCCAAGCGAAGAGTACAGGATTAGTGTTTGAAATTTGCAAACATATACGCTAAAGCGGACAAAACTACAGTCTTATTTCGATTGGCTACTTACTGGCCTTCTTAATGTCATCGATAAATTATTGGATACCTGGAGGTCAGATTATAATTTTATCTTCGCCACACTTTAGTACACAAGTTGTTGTAAATTACATTATTCTGGACTATTAGGGAATATATACAGACAGACAATTGACCATCAGTGTGACCTTTTAGACTTTGAACAAGGTCACTTTCTATTGAAGTGAGTCAACAATATCAAGCGATAACCTGAGCGTCGAGTTTGGACATGCAGTCTAGTGTTGAATTCAATAAATATCATAGCGTTTTTCCTCTCAAAAAACGATGTTTACAACGTGATGTTTCAAAATGTGCGAATAGATTCAAGTGCGATAGAAATAAAGAATGAACATTGAGAGTATAATCGATGAGGCGGAGAACAATTGTAAAAAGCAGTATTTTTGAATGGAGAGAGAAAAATTGATATGCTTCACAAAAGTATCGTTATAAGGTGGATATTCATTGATATTATGAGTGATTGCCGATAGAGGTGTACCTAGACATATATCGAAAGCCTGAGTGGCGTATGCTAATCTGTATCACATTCGACGTCGTCATAACGTTACCCTTGCTGCAAGGGATTCGATATACAATACGTCAGCCTTACACTTGTGTGGCCTCCACGCTGAGGATCCCCAATGGCTCTACGTTTCGAAACACGGTTGTCTCCACAGGATTTTTCGCATCTGGTGCAAAGACCATTGAAATACTTGTCAGATGACGCAGCATGTGTTTGGGTGTGATGGAGATGGTCATTTATTGAGTGTGATCATCTTGAGACACCGGTTTCGGTGTGACATGTGTTGCCCATATCACTCTAGTGGTCCACACCCTACTGACTGTTCACTTATCGTGGGACTGATAAGAACAATTGGAGAGATGGTGAGTATGGGACCTGATATTATTGAATGAAGGATAGTTGTGTCGGGTTGCGATTTGTAAGTGCCTCATGACTCTGTGGATGGGGTCTGAGAGACCATGGAACTGAGTGATTGAAGATGGTTGAGAATGGAAAGCAGTAGTGATCATGTATTGGCTTTCTTGTTTCTTATGTTGCTGCAATGTAGTGTGAAAGTAGTGAATGTTTCATTGAATGTAACTATGAGACTGCTTCTTAACTAATCCATTTCTATTTCATTTCTGCCCTTTTCCCTTACCTCCTTTTCTCATCAGGTTAGCATCCTCTTAGGACGCTTTTTTCGTACCCACAGTATACCAAATTCATGTTTTAAGTAAAAATCGACAAACTTTATTTATGGAAAGGGTTTCTTATACGGTTTAACTTGAAAGTTGTTGGTAGAAATCTCCAACTGTTTACCTTCAAAGTCTTTTGCGTTTTCTGTTGAAATATAAACTAGGTTATTTTTCCATTGTTTATAATTGAAGGTTTCCGTTAGAGTTGTTGAATGAAATCTCTTTAAAATGTTTACCTAACGATATAAATTCATTCTTCTAGTCTGCTTATTGAAGTTAGGTTCTTTTGCTGCTTATGTAGTAATTTCAAGCTATAGTTATTCAACTTATTCTTTCCTGAGTTCTGTATACTTTATTTTTTAGCTGAAAAGCCATGTACCAAATTGTCAGTCAAAGGTATTCGTCATTTTTCGATGAGTAGTTCAATCCAACCAAATCTTGCTGTGTACATCCCTGGTGAAAAGGTAACTTTTAATTTTTTTAAAGACTTATCTCAGTAATGATTCTTTTAAGGTTTATATCTTTTCCAAAAGTTACTCCTTTACCTATATGTTCCTAGTCTTTCGATAAGTTATTCAAACAATATGTGTCAGGTAGTTTAGTTTCAGTCGACTAAGATATGTATACTGTAATGAAGCTGTTATTAACTTTGAAAGCTAACAGTTAATTGCTACTTTCAGGATCGATTTATCACGCATAACAGCAACATTTAAGAAAATTGTTTACCTTTTCAGATTAAGGGAAATCAGACTTTTGAACAAAATGTAGCTTACGGTCGTTATTAAGTGGAATAGGAACAATTATTGGTGGTGATTCATCTTCCTTGTTTTACGTAGATATATGTAACCTTCAGTGATTTTAGCCCAAACCATACTCATAGTTCATGAGATCACTTATTACTTGGTATATACAATACAGACAAATTGGCAATCCTAAACACGTCTCTGTTCTATACTTTGTTCATCAATTTTTGCTTGTATTTGTTAGGAAGTGCAATATCCACTATGTAGAACTTTATAGTTCAAAACAGATGTAAAAGGTCAAAGCTTATCAGACTATTTGGTATTTTTCAGGAAATCACATGACTATCGCTTGCAAAAATTAATCTTCTGGAATGCATAAACAAAAATATAGAGGTCATTTGTTAATATACAAAAACGATATCTTTTGTACTTAGCTGGACTTCATAATATTCAACGTTTTCCTTGTTCAAACAGCTGTGCGACAATTTAAGTGGGTTTTTAGGGTTATTCATAAAATGTTTCACCGTTTTGGACATCATATATAATATATGATTGCTCTTTCTTCATTATATAGTAAGAACAGTCTGACTAAAGCTGATAAATAAATCATATCACTTCGTGTCTTATTCAAATAGAATAGAATATTAACCAGACTGAGCTACGTCGTAGCTCACCTTCAATCACCACCCAGTATCAATACTACGGCTGTCTCACATAGTCAAAATAATAATGAGTTATTATGTCTAATGTTAAAACAGTGTTACCTTCTTTGGAATAGATAGTAAGCAAAGTTTGTCAAAGTTAGAGAAGTATCATAGTGTTCAATGTGGTCCTTTATTTCATAATGAATTGTACAGCTTAAAAATTTACATTTGATGAATTATTGATGAATGAAGATGGGTCAAGTTTTGAAGAGATGAGTTGGCGAATAACTGTTAATGATATATATGTCAGTTACTAGTAAATTGAGGTGATTGATCATTAGCATTAAATAAATATTACACATAGTACGGCCATAAATCCTAAAGATGTATTGCACTGCATTGTAATTCAATTGATACTAGGCATGTTAGCAACCTTGCGAGAAAGAATAAGCAACAAGGAACTCTGGGAACAAACCAACGAAGCAAGAACCTATCACGTAACAAAAATGCAGAAGAAAGTGGAGATGGATTGGGAATACACTGAGAAGGCCGGCTGGGAACATCACGTGCCAAGCCAGGCTATCGAGTGGAATGTAAAAGGGAAACGACGAGTTGGGTGTCCGAGGTTGACATGGAGGAGATCATGTGAGAAAGGAATGATAGCTTGTGGGGAGTCGTGGAGCCAGGTTGAAAAGACTGCAGAGAACAGAGTGGAATTGAGGCGTGCTACTGTAGCCCTATGTTCCACTAGGAACCTAAGGGAAAAATAATAATAATGTTAGCGACCAGAATTACATCCATCTACTTATATACTACTTTACTCACAATTTAGATTTCTAATTCAAAGTTAGTCATCATATATCAATGAAAAGTACCGAAATATGGTCGAATTTCGTTCTAAACTCTAGTCTTTGGTTTTCACCAATTGTGTAGGTGTTCAAACGTGAGTGCTACTTGGAAGCAGTAATCAAATCAGCTAAATTATGATTATCTTATCTACATATATCGACTGAGGTAGTCGTTTTTTGCCATGATTGAAGAATGATAAGACCAAATCAGTTTAAGGTTTGAGGGCGAAGTTGTAATGTTAACTAGATAGGCGTAGAATAGCAATAGAGTGTCTTCTTAGCATAGTCAGCATCTCCAACTGTTACTTTTCTGTTATCAAAATGTTTTCGAGGAATATGGATACTTTTCTTTTTCAAACAATGTTTCATAACCTTTGACAAGATTTTTGAAATAATGGATTCAGTTCTACAAATTGGAATTCTATGCACAGTACTGCATATAGTCATACTGTGGAGCCTATGCTTATTCATCTTCAAATCTGTTGTCTGAGAACAACTGTAGGGTAGTATAAAAATCATCTTGGAGCTCAACACAAGTAATCTAATGAAGAAATCAGCAGCCAGTTACACTGTTAGCGCACTCGTCAGTGAGGTATACTTTTTGCAGGGTGATGCAAATTAGTACCTGATAGCCCATATTTCGATAGGTGGTTGAGCGGGATTCGAACCGGCAAGCTGACTTGGCAAGACATTTTTCACTCTTCACTGCCAGTAGGAATACTGGGAGTGTTTTACCTTAAAATCTTTTGATAAGATATACAGAAAAACGACAAAAAGTAATTTCATTTTATTTTTTTCTCTCCATAGAATCAACCCTCTTTTGTTAGAGTTTATCACTGTCGTGATAATCAATTGATATCTGTGGCAAATAAGTCATTTTTTCGTGCTGATACAGTTAGACTACTCTGGAATGATAAGGGGACTGATCTACTCATACTTACTTCAACTAAGGTAATATGCTGCAAGAATTTTTTTTTCACTATTTTAATATTCATTTTACTGCTATGATTATAACTTTCACTGGGATGTCTAATTCTGTCACTGTTAGTGTCATTTATGTTAAATTTAATAACATTTTGATGTGCAATAGTTTATTGATATCTGAATCGTCGGTGTACTAATGTAACTTCAATGCCTTCCAGAATGGTTTTAATTGTTAACCGTCATAATTTCAAACAACTTATCTATCGATACCTATCGGAGTTGTATCTCAAAGTGCAAGGAGATGACTTTCAACCAGTGAGTAATAGGTTTAAAACCTGCTCCGCCTACCAAGGTTTGAGCAACCAAGTAGTATCATTAGCCCTCACACAACAGGTGTGATTCATTGCCTACTGCACGAATGTGCACAAGGTTGCTGATTATGACAACAGTATACCAATACCTGAGGATTTCAAACTGGTGTATACCGTATTCCTCTCATGAAACCAACTTTGGTATTCCTCATTTCTCAACAAGTAAAATTTATTTCTTAGAACTATCTTCATAATAGCGATATTAACACACTATAGAAGTGGTTGTGATGCACAAATTTTGTCCATTACCTCGTGTTGTTTGTCATTCTCAGCTAGCTGTTTCGTCCATAGTGACGCGCTTGAACATCCATTCTATGTATCCAGATCCATTCAGTTATCATTATCATTATTAATGCACATTTCTCACTTTTAATCAGATCATCTCGTCTTAAGTTCTTTGAGTGTCTTCTGTTCCTTTACCCTGTAACAATGTGATAGCTTGAATCTATACACTACTGTGCGAAGTTTTGTATTCTATCTATTAGTCTACAGTTAAAAATCCCCATTAATTTATAATTAATATGATGAACTGGTTATTATAGCTGTTAGTTGATGGTGAATGCATCGGTAAATAATTAACTTTGCGGGTTCTTTTCATTGATTTGTGTGTTTCTGTATCTTAACTTCCTTCATGACACTTTGTTTTCTAATCTTCAAAGTCGGGTTTAATTTGCAATCGGAACTAATATCGTATAGAGTAATGTTGACTGTGAAACGTTTTCTTGATAGTTCCTGACCCTTAAATATGGTTCCTTTTTGATCTTATTTGGTATGGAATCGTGAAATATTTATCCTTACAATGAGTATATTAAAACAGCATCCATTTGTTCATCTAGTGGTTCTACATTGTTTTAAAATCTAAATTTTCATATAGAGCTCAATACTGTCCGTGTGATCTATTTAGTCGCCTTGGATATCCTGCAAAGTTCTTGTCATAGAAGATAAATTTAACAATCACAAAAGTGAAAGCTCCAACAACTTCTAAGAAACCAATGTTCGTAAAAATACAATTGCAGGATGATATAAATTAGTTTGTCATGCATGTGATAGAACGAAAAAGCTAACTAGTAGATCAGAAAATCAGCGACAAGAAATTAGATACATCAAGAGTACTCTACGTCTCAATAATTACCTATCTAAATTTATCAATAAATTCATAAGAAATCGAAAGGAAAATATGAGCAGTCGTAGTAGTAATAACAGGTGGCATTAATATTAATTCTACTGGTAATAGTAATAATGGTGACAGGGTTGAGAAAGAATTCAAAGTCTCTACTGTGTTACCATATGAAGAAAGTTCCTCAGAAGGATTACGAAGAATTCTACATAAGGCTAGTTGAGATTGAAGTGACATTTAAAATTAACAAACTCGCTTAGAAACAAGCTTTGTAGGTCAAAAGATTCTATCGATGTAATTAAGCAAAATAATCTGGTTTTCCAAAGCCCTTGCAATGATTGCGAGGTCAAGTACATAGGTCAAAGCAGTCGACCAGGGTCGATTAGAATAACAGAGCACAAAAACTTAGCTAAATCAAGATTAGTAGATCCTAATAAGGTAAGAAATCTGGAGAAAAGCTCCGCAATAGCTCTGCATGTGATGACACACAATCACACAGTAGGGTGGGGGGATAAGGTGACAATGTTGAAAACTAACTTGGTTGGGTGGAGGGAGAGATTGATAACCGAATCTTTTAAACAGCGTAATGAGAAGACTAAGATTATCTGGAACATGTGATGAAACACAGTCTTTAAAGTACTACATAAAAGTGGTCAGAGCCGAGTGCTTAAATTTATTGAAGCTCTTGCCAGCCGTAAATTTAAACACCCTTTATGTATACAAAAACAATTCGTACTCACGCTGAACCTACCTTGGTAGTATTGATTTTAATTTTCACACCAAGAGTAAGGTTTTCCTTTTTTTTTCCACCCCTCCCTATTCCTGTTTCCTATTAACTTCATTGACCTTTTTCGTAAATTTTCACATAAATAGTTCGACAAGTCCATGTGTGATCAGATTGTTCGAAATGTATAGCGCTAATACATCACATGTTTCAGATAATCTTCGTCTTCTCATTAAGCTGTTTAAATTTATCAAAGGGACCAGTTGCTTTAAACCGAATCTTTGTTTATCTAATCAACACCAAATACATACCATCGAAATAATTCTGCACCTGTCCCAGATATATGAAAAATTCTACTACCCTTGTCATCACAGAGAAGGAGAGAATATTAAAACTATATAAACTCCGTCTCGAAGTCATGGAGTTACCTGATATGAATATGGACAATAAATTGAGTTCAAAATGTTATCCAGTAAATGATACTGTTTCACTGTGTGATATTTCTAATAAACAGACCAAAACAGAATTTACCATACAAGGTCTGAAAACGGCATTCCATGTATCAGATTTGTGCTCTATGCTCTTCAATCAACCGATATTCTGTCTAAATTTACGTCTATCTACTTGCCAGTATAACTTCTATGAAGCCAGATGCATAAGACTAAATAATAGACATATTTTCTAATCACATCTTACATAATCTGTCGTGATTAAGTAAAAGCTGGAAAATGTAACTTAGCAATTTTCATGCTCAAACCTCTAGCTAATAAATAGCTGATATCAAGACGGTGTAAACACACTGCTTAAATTAATCCCTCACAATACATCTCCTACAAACAGAAAATAATTCGTTGTTGTTCATCGTAGACTGACACCAGTTGGGGAACAAAGGAAACCTGGAAGTACTGGACAGCTGTTTCGTCCTCAGCAGTGCGTACCCACGACCCCGCCAGGGATCGAACCCTCGGCCTTCAGGTCCCGTGGCCAGCACATTACCATTGAGCCACTGGGTCAGAATCCAATGATAGAAGTCCGTACAACCTCTTTCTTAACTCTGACCATCCAGTAGCCTATAAAATATCGAAAAGCTTCTATTTTTCTTCTTCAACATTCTATTATTCTTAATTGGATAATTTGATGCAGTCATTAAGATGAAATAGGTTTAATAAGATGCTATGTGAGTGCTTCGAATTTTTCATAGTAAAGTGATTTACTGGCGTTTATATGAAGATGGAAATACTACCTAGATCCGTAGATAGAAAAAGATAATTGTCCTGGGCGACCACCTCCTGCCTCCAATCTACCATAAACTACATTACTTTTGTTTCCTCTCTTTTCTTCACCTCCTGAAAGCAAAACTGAGTTCCTTTTAATTCCTTCAACTTCTTGTCCTGGGAAAATTGCTAGCGACCCAAACCAGCCAAATACAATGCTCAGTTTTTCTAAAATCACACTACAAATGTCACATCGAAGCTTTCAATGTTCGAACTCTATGCTAAATCAAACAGTAAGCATCCTTTGCCAAAACTGGAATTTCAGGCTATGGATGTGAGCTGTTTTTCTGAAATGCTATTATATATTCTGAGGTGATGTAATACGCACGATTAACTGACAGCTACCTTCATACTCAAGATCCGCTGACTCTAATCCGGGACGAAATAGAGAAAACTGAACTGGATAGAAGAATTTATCCCTCTGAGAATAATCTTCAACTTACCCCAACACTTATGGATATATGCACATGCGATATGACGTTGTCCAGAAATTGAGACATTAACCTAGTAAAAGTAGCACTAATCGATCAGGGATGAATTACCTTGAAAATGGATGGGAGGAATGGAATACTGACCATACCATAAAAAATGGCGTAAAAACAATTTTTAAAAAATGTTTAGAATAATAAACAATGTTTATGGTTCTGACATGGCATTAAGTTGTTGAATAGAAGCACATACCAGTCGACAAATGTTTGTTGCCTGACTGGACTAGTCTCTACGAACTGGGAAAGGCTGTAACACATATTGATGCCCACTTATAGTCTCCGTCGTCGTACCCACTGACTGTAGCTTGAATGATTAAGAGGATGAGTTATACCAAAGGCTGTCAAATTTTCGACAAACAGCAAAATGCAGAGATGTCATATTTTTGGGTGATTTCAACGTTCAAGTAGAGAATCTGAGCCAATCAGAATAGTATTTACGGTATTCTATACAGACAAACCGACTCTTACTATTTAGTTCTGACAATCGACTACTCCTGGTCAGCAAATAGCGTCAAGCAAAAACCGAAACACTATCTGACTTGGCTTACTCGGACATCAGACCAACGGGGGACACAGATATGTTATTCTTTTGTTAGTTATCGTTTGAAAGGATCGGTTCCAAGTTTTTCTCACTTTATCTAGCATCGGCTTCAGCTGCACTCCGATCATGCGTTAGTATTCGCACGTGTATGTTTGCATGATGGGCTGATGAAGTAAACAATTAAATTTGTACTCCCGGTTAGAGTGACAAAGTTGGGTGTATACTTCAGGAGGAAATAGCTGAGTATCTATCTGAACATGGTGGTAGTTATCATCCGGATAAAGCCTAGTGTAATATTCCTTTTACTGTAGAAACAGCGATAAAGGTAGTTAGTAACTTACATCCAAATTGTATCGAGATCCAGTGGATTTCTTCAACCACGTCCGAACTAACTAGTGCAAGATGATTGATCCCAGCTAGCTTTGTACTCAATTAAGAGCTGCTCAGGCATTTGTTAACGAATCATCTTCGTAATGACTGTTAGAAGGGATGGTGAAAGCGAAAAAGATGGA